CTCACTCTCTCTCTCTCTCTCTCTCTCTCTCTCTCTCTCTCTGTGTGGGTGTAAAACAAGAGCGTTTAAAAAGAAAATTGTAGTGGATACTGCCACTAGAAAAATGAGAAAAAACTTACCGAAGGATTCCTGTCGTCTGGCCAAATGCCTTAATCCCCCCGCGAACGATGATGCTCCGAGAGCCACCGAAATAACGCCACAAACCAACGCGTATGAAGCAAGATAGTGGATCTTCATCGTTCTGATGTGCGCTATTCACCGTTTGTTCTTCTCATTTATACAGTTTCTCTCCCCTCAGTTGATGAGGTAAAGCCATAATAACCAATAGCATTTATGGAAGGGAATGACAAACGCCCATTCAGAGAGCACGCAGTGGTATAATCACACTAGGTATATAGTTAATTCAAAATTAAAAGAGAGCTCAGATTATAAAACAAATTTGCCATGCTAAGTAGCTGATTCCGTCGACATTTTAATGAATGTAGAATGAGTCAAATGTACATACTTTATTCATGAAGTTCTCTTTTACACTGTCAAAGCTACGTGTTGTATGCGAATTTCTCTTACAAGTCAGAGCAGCAAGAGGGGACCAGGCACCCTATTGGCCGTTGTTGTACCCAGACACTAATATAAGTACCTTTTTTTTTGGGGGGGGGGGGGGGTAACTCTTTAACAGCTGAAAATACGGAAAATCAAATATCGCTGTTAATGGTTGTTTTATGACTTAGAATACACCATGTATATTTGGTTATTCATTGATGTCTTTAATTGTAGAACCAATACTTCAATGACACTGATGAGGTTAGTAAAAGTTATTAAAGCATGAAAAACCTTTGTTTCCATTTATCAGTTAGAAAAATGGGGAAAAAGCGAAATTAAATTATATGAAAAAAACTTCCATAGTAAGTGTTAAGTCTGTGTATTAAGCCGAAACGAAATTCCCAAAGTAATCTCTCCGCCCAAAATGCCTAAATTGGTTTGAGAATATACACAATTTCTACCCAATTCTCACTGCATACTAGTTGTAGTTCTGAGGACCATGTTTTTTATCTTCCACTAAAAGGTATGTCGTGATTAGAACGCTACTTGGATGTTTTTACAGTCTACGTTATAATTGTGTACCTGTGTTTTGTACCAAAAATAAAAACATTTCAGGTCATTTTAATGTCTTTTCATGCAAGAATGTTGTCTAACAACTGGGGTTGATACAATGTTGTTATCTGACGATGAGTCAACATTCAAATCCAATGTTTATCCAACGTATTATCAACGTTATGGTTCAACGTTGTTTCAACGTTAAAACAACATAATTTGCGCGCTGGGAGGTTGTATGTAGCTGGTAATTATAATGAGGTATGCAAGTTAGCTGTCAGTGTTTCTGTAAGGGAGGATGCTTTATTTAGTTCAAATCACGAAGAAGGGGACAGTTTAGTCTGGCTTCACAGTCTGAATAGTTCAGAAAATAATATGATAATCGTATCACCAGATACTGATGTACTAGAAATAGGGCTTGGTTTGTATGATAGCAGAGAGTACCTAGGTAAAAACATCTTGATAAAATAAAGTTGTAAATTGTATGAGGAAATTTATGTTAATGTTAATGGGTTGCATGGTTACATAGTTAATGATCCCGACTTGAGTAGGTTAGATAGGTCAAAGGTGGGTAAAATTATATTGTTTGTATGTTCTGGGTATGATTATGTTTCATTTTTAGGTGATTTGGTAAAAAGAAACAATCTACTCTGTATTTTATAGGTATGCTGACTTTATATCTGGAAAAATTGCTGCAGGAACTCTTGATGAAGTAGGTGCAGGGAACTACAGAAGTGGACTATTAGCTTTTTACCATCTGTTAGGTTGTCTTTATTTTAGGAAATGCTGCAATGCTTTTTTTNAAATGTTTCTATTTGGTTAGGTACAGGGTAATATAAGGTCGGCTTTGTTAGATGTAGAATCCTTGGAGCATGTATCGCCACTTGAAGATAGCTTAGAGGTACACTGGTTAAGGACTTGTTATATAGCAGAGATGTGGGGACAAGCAGGCCAGAATAGGATAGATTATTTAGATGTCTTAGAACAGGCTTTATTTCCAAGAAATAATAAGGAAACTGTTTACATAACTGCTGTATTTGGATTTTCATTTCAAAATTTAATTATCTGAACGTTAATAATAAATGATACAATCAGATGGTGCTACCACAGACTTCTTACATAACTGCTATATTTGGATTTTCATTTCAAAATTTAATTAACTGAACGGTAATAATAAATGATACAATCAGATGGTGCTACCACAGACTTTTTTCAGGCTACAGAATTTGAATGCTTTGGGTTGCACACTTTTAGATTGATATGTCAATAATAAATGACCCAATCTTGATGTCAAAGCTGATTTCCTTAAAATTTCAGTGGATGTGTCTACATAATTATTTTGGGTTAGAGAATATGAATGTTTTGGGTTGCACACTTTTAGATTGAAATATCAATAATAAATGATTCAATCTAGATGACAATCTTTGATCATAGGCTTTGATTTGATTTTATTATTTTCGTATTTCATAAGGTGTTTCTACAGAATTATTTTGGGTTTGAAAATTTGTCCCAAGCATAAAACACTGAATATAACAGAGTTTCTCTGCTGGTTAGACGGGCATTTGTCAAAAGTTTTGACATATCATTACACACATTTTCTATTGTGTTTGCATCCGGAATCTGGGCAGGCCACATCACCCTGCGAATGTCCTGTTGGTCAAACCAATCATCAACTGCTCAGGGCCTGTGACAAGGAGCATTGGCATCCTGGTGAACAAATGGATAATTCCTGTCACCAAACATGTAAGTAATAGATGGTAGCAAGCCTGACTCCAAAACATCGATATATTTCTAGTGATTCATGTTTCCATCAACCACTATCAATTCGCCCACGCCATGGATGGTGATGCAGCCCGACACCATGATGAATATGCTGCTCCGGGTTCGAAAATTCAGTGCATGTGGTTCAAATGCTTTACCAGCAGTTCGCCAGCATCATACCCGTCTGTCATCAGAGGTCAGACCAAAGCGACACTCATCAGAAAAAATATATATAGGACCAATTGTCATGGACTGTCCAGTTCCAGATCCTGTTGACCCTAGTTCACTCTACGTTGCTTGTTTTGTAACAATATAAGAGGTTTCAGTATTGCTACCTTGCTGTACACTCTCTGAGCATGTAACCGACGCCTAGCAATTTTCACAGACACATTCTTATGTGAGAAATTGTTCCACTGCGTTGTCAACTGACAAGCAGTGTCGAACTTTGACAATTTGGACATCAAAATCAGTCGTCGGTCTTAACGGCCAGTAGTTTTTCTTGGACGACCCATCAGAGGCAATTTGTCTCTTGATCCAGTGTTTCTATAACGAGACCAGACCCTCTGCACGGTTCTGACTGAACAATACAATTGTATCGATATTCTGACATTGCTTATATTCCGCCTCTTCAGGTTAATAACTTGACACCTATAACAGTTAGATAATTGCCTGTATCTTGTCAGGAGGAAGACAGGAATAACATTCGTTGTACATGTACAAGACCAACAATACAATTCCATGGTATAGCGGTTTTATACTCATTAGTCGCATTATAAGTAGACCAGGCATTATAACTACCCAAGATCTGCCTACTTTTATTACTCTGAGTTAGGGGGTGACACTTCTTTTGTCCAGTGTGTGTATGTCTTCAACAACAAAATTGTATGTTCTCAATGGGGCAAGTCGAAATTTCTTTACAAAATAAACGACATTTTATCAAAATCAAATGGACAAGGTACTTGGTTTTTTCAATGAAAAATCACAGACAATTGTGAATTTTACACATACTGTATGTTTTAATTCATATTTTTTTAATTGTAATTTCTCATTGAGTGGTACAACAAAACTAAGAGTGCTTTACAGTTTTATTCTTTATACAGAAAAATGTCAAGTCTGTAATAAAGACACAAATCCTACATGGAAATATATTTTTGAACTGAACTTTGGAAATTTTCTATCCCTTATATCTCGAAAACTGGCAGAGATACGCCCATAGATACTATTGAACTTGTATAGGAGGTCATATTCTGGCAATCTAACTGAGACCTTGAAGTTGACCTTTGACCTACTTTTCACCATGATCTGAACTTCTCAATTCTTCAACGAATGTTATGATTTGTCAAGGGTAGAGTTACATGTACACACTATCCATAGAACCTTCTTAATTGTCGGAGTAAAACGAACATTTTATTATTACAGGTATTTAAAGCAATAATAACTCTTCCTTTGAGATTCAAAATTCCGCAAGAAATACATTGTAAACAACGTATGGAAATATATTCTATTGTATTTTACCACTAAAACGGTCGTTATTGTAGTAAAACTAAAACCTGTGCTTGTCAATAGGGCTTTCGATGCCTTTCTTCCCGGTCGTTAAGGCATCCGTTACCAATGACGTTTTGGTGTCACGCGGATTCTCGCGTTCATTCGATACCAAAATAATTTGCGACTTCTGGCAACAGGTGGTGAAGAATGGTGTTTGATCCATGTAGGCCACCTCCAATTTATAGATGTTTTCCAAGCATTTGGCTACCATTTGCGCTTCTGTCGAATTTGGTCAACTTTTGCGTTAAAACCTACATGAGTAAATATTTTAGAAATTTTATAATAATTGTATTTAATGGCAATAAAATTTATTTTTAAAAAATCACGCATTGTATTATTTTGTATTATTAGTAGTATTACTTTCACCCTTCTTCAAAATACATAAATGAATAAAATTAAAAGGAATGATAAAAATCTTTTACTTAATTTTTTATCTATTTTTTATTTTTATTTATTTATTTATTATTTCATTTTATTTATTTATTTATTTATTTATTTATTATTTTATTTTATTTTATTTTTTAATTTATTTTTTTTATTTTTATTTTTATTTATTTATTTTTTTTTTTTGGCAACCACAAGAGAAATGCAGGAAGAGGTTAAGGTGTACGGTGACCTTGAAGTTTTTTCTGTGATGCAAAGATGTTCTCAGAGTGAATGACGATGTTTTGTTCTGCGGTTCTTTTTTTCATTTCCAAAATAAATAAATAATAAATATTAACTTATTAAATAAAATAATAAATAAATAAAAAATAAATAAAACTAGATAAAAAATTTAACATATTTTATTAAATAAATTGATGTTATCACAATATTTCCATTCAATTTCATTTTGATTAATTTGGAATTTCAGATTGTTAATTTTATTGTTAATTCAATTTTATTTTAATTTGGAATTTCATTGTTATACAATCTGTTTTAAAGACTTTTTGTCCATCTTAATGAAATTTGCAGACCCTTGCCCTGCCTCATGAAAGTGCCTACAATTCTTAATTATAATTCAGAATATTGAACAGATCCAGATCCAAAGATTTTAAATTGTAAAATGTCTAATTTTGTTTAGGGAGGATATAAGGCTTTTAAAAAAACTCAAACTTCGTAGTTATCCTTAACCTTTGTTTTTCTCTTTTTTTTTCAGGGACTTAGTACGATGAATAGGAACCATGTTCATTTTGCACCAGGTGAACCTGGAGGCTCAGGGGTCATTAGTGGCAAGTTGCTATTTGAAATTCACTTGTACAAGTTTGATAGTTTGAAAATCATTTATCCATTTCATTGCTTATACTGGGCACCTAGAATTTTTTCATTACAAGTGTTATGTGTTTCCCTTTACAATGAAAACCTTAGAAAATACATTGAAGCCCATGTTAACAATATGTCACGTCAGTTCAGATTAAATTCAGTTTTGCTAGCCATTTTAAACTTTTGAACATTAATGATCTCCAAACTCATTGGAGGTAAAAAAAATATAGTAATACGTAGGTGTTTTGCACCAAATTTGGCCATGGAAACTAAGTTTGTTTCAATTTTCCCAAAAAAGGAATGTATTTTTTCCACCTGAACACTATATAATTCATTTTTCTTTTGTGAAGTTACTAGTAACCATCAGTTTCAGACATAAAATTTACTGGAAACAGTAAAGGTCTGCTGATAGAAGAGATTATTTTCCAATAATTTCCGAAATTCTGTGTTAAAGTCACAGACATTGTCGAAATTCTCTTGGCAGAAGTTTACTTTACATTCTTAATCTCTGTCATTAACTTTCCATTTCATTAGGTATGCGAAAAAGTTGTCAAGTCCTCATCTACATGAATTTACAAAAGGCATTAGAAGGTAAGTTAGCCTCATTCACTTCTTCATCATAATGATTGATAAAAAGCTGATTAAGTGATAAGTTTAATCATAACTTATGTTTATATTTGTCACACATGTACATAGATATCATAACCATATGTTGTATTATAAATGTACTTCTATTTTAATTAAGAACTTCAAAATAATTTTTGTGGGATATTTTCATACCACCAACCTCTTGCCTGTTTAGTGTACCCTGAGCTTCAGATCAGATGTGTGTCATTTATCTTCAAATTGTTTTTTTTTTCAAATGAAGAAGCTGTCACAGATTGGATCTGAAACTAAAGGCTGTAATTCATTGTCAGTGGGCCATAAAGCAAGTATGCTACTATAGTGAAATTTGTTAAATTTTCAGATGGTCTGCAGTTCTTTTTATCAGACAATAATGTTATCCTTAGCCCTGGCAACTGTGATGGAATTATCTCACCAAAATATTTCTCCAAAGTTATGAATCGGGAGACTGGTACGTGTTTGACTTTATATTTAAACAAAGTTTATGATTTAATAGAACGATCTTGCAAAGATGAATTTCTTTTCCTTTAAACATTGGTGTGCTTTAGCCATATAAAATAAATTTATACTACTAAGTCTTATTGTGTGAATGTCAGGATGGTGTAACTTTTTTCTCTCTTAAATCATTTTTCAGGGCAGTCACTAGATTTACTTACTAACAGTTGACAAATGAAATTGTGGAAGATTGTTGACCAGTTGGCAGCTGTTTTGGTTACTGCTCAGGCCCATAGCCAGCAATTTCAAAAGGGTGGTCTTTTTCTGCAAAAGTGGACATTTTAATGAAACCATCGTGCACCTAGATAAGATTTTAACTAGAGGGGACATTTTCCTGGAAAAAGGGGGTTCTTTCCTGACCCCCCCTTCCTGGCTAGAGGCCTGCTGCTTCAGGGGTTTCATCAGAAGTGAAAGACAATCATAACGCAAATGCAAAAGGCCTGTTGGAATGACAAGTTATTTCCATTGTTTCTTGTTTTGAAACCTTTTGTCATAAAATTAACACCAAGATTGACTTCAAATAATGCTAGTGATAATTTGTTGACTATGTTTCTGTTAATGGCTTTCCAAAGGGATCTGTGCTGTTACAGCATTACTGATGTGCATTCATTGGCACCAATGATAGAGGAAACCTGCTTGAAGTGTTTCTTTTAAGTATTCTTGTATTAAAATCCAAGAGCCCCCAGTGAAGAGTATGAACATGTATTTTAAGCATCCTCTTATTGCATAACATGTGAAAGTAAACTTAATATGTTTTATTAATCTGTTGATTACAACTGTACGTGCCTCTGTTTATGGCTTTTCTGTAGTTTATATAGTCGATCTT